TGTAAACTCTCTTTTTTCCATCGGAAGTACCAGATGTCTTGGAAACTGAACCTCCAAAGAAACTTGATTTAGATGAAGGTAACATCAAACATGGCATATTACTTGATTAAACTTCTTGTTTCTGTCAGGCCGAATTTCCTGTGCTTTTGAAAGAAGGAAATTGGGCAGAGCTAACAACATGTAGATGTTGCTTTTTCTTCCCACATTTTGGAATGCATCCAAAGTAGAAAAGGTGAATATCATAAAAAAACAAAAATATTAACTTTGCACAAATTACGAAAGATTCTACAAACAAAGGAGAAATAAATGGACAGCCTCAAGTGGGATTCCTAGTTGAAATCCCTTTTTTGGCGATGGGGGGGGGGGGGGGGGGGGGGGAGGGGGAGGCAAGGGCAACAAAGGGTATCTTCTGGAGGTTACCCTGGACTAGTAGGCAGTAGAGGGAAATACAACCTTGGTAGTAAACTACTCTAAAAGGATAGCAGAAAACCATAGAGGCAGACTGGTGAAAGTTTGAACGAAATCAGACAAAATTGAGTTAAAGTGAACCGCAAACACCACTTTAAGGGAACATCAGCTCAAACCAATGTAGGTAAGTCAACTTCTCTCTCTCGTCCCCCCCCCCCCCCCACCCCTCTCTCTCTCTCTCTGTGTCTCTCCACCCCCCATCCCCTCTCTCTCTCTCTCGTCCCTCCCACCCCCTCTCTCTCTCTCTCTCTCTCTCGTCCCCCCCCCCCCACTACTTACCCCCCACCCCTCTCTCTCTCTCCGTCTCTCTTCTTATGTTTAGGGGGGGGGGGGCTAACAACATATAGGCTGTTCCATTTTATTTTATTTTACACAAAGAAAATGAGTCTGTGACTGTGTGTACCAGACTAATTTACATGTACACATGCATGTATGCAACCTAAAGCCAAGGTATTTAATTCATGTATGACTCACGAGCTTACTATGACAGTCATGTCATCTCAACACCATACAAAAACCACATATACATGTAGTCTAGCTGTACAAACGCTACTGCTGTATTGTCTGCCGAGAGTCAAAAGGGCGTACTGTACATGTACTCCAGACACACATGTACTAGATGTACATGTCATTAACACCTTCTGGCTCTATTCCAAGGTTTCAAACAAAATGTGCTGTATATATGCATTCATAAATCTGCAAGACCGAAAATGCAGAAAATGTATGCTCCCCCTTTTAGAACAAGCCATATCTCTTCCAGTATCACTATGTACTTACCAATATTGTCTGCAGAGACTAGAGAGCCCAAAATGTGATTGGCATTTTACATACCGGTAGAGATAACGCCCTTATGTATCTCCAAGCAGACAATAGATCAATCAATATCAATCATACCATTTGCATTTATTGCAGGGTATTGGTAGTAAGGGAAATGTTGCTTCTGATCTACAAAAGTAATGATTTTGTAGTTCATTCTCAATGTTCTATTCATGCTGACAAAGATAAATGGTGTTCAGGTAATAATAATGTAGAAATGCTGCTTATTTCATAATGCTATTACCCACATGCATAAATTAAAATGTATTCCTTGTCAATTCATAACATCCTATGTACTGTACGTCACACTATACAACATATACACAGTCACACACAAACATTGCTGGCATCTATGATCATCCACTGTCCGCAGCCTCCGCATCGGTATGCATCAATTATGAATCTCTTTTCTCTTGTGCATGTATCTTGTTCTGAACATGCATAAATTAATTAATTAATTAGGGAGTGTTAAAATGTTGTTCTTTATTCCTTGTCAATTCATAACATCCTATGCTGGTATCTCTTTGGTACGATCACACTATACAGCACACACACCCTTACGACACACACACACACACACACACACACATTGCTGGCGTCCACTCTCCGAAGCCTCCGCATCGGTATGCATCAATTATGAATCTCTTTTCTCTTGTATCTTGTTCCACAGGTCCATCTGAATCTGATGAGGGACATGCATAAATTAATTAATGGAGTGTTAAAATGTTGTTCTTTATTCCTTGTCAATTCATAATATCCTATTGTGTGTACGTCACACTATACAACACACACACACATGGCTGGCATCTATGATGACTCTGCGCAGCCTGAGCATTGGTATGCATCAATTATGAATCTCTTTTCTCTCGTTTCTTGTTCTACCTCACCAATCTGATGAGGAACATGCATAAATTAATCAAAGGAGTGTTAAAACGTTGATCTTTATAACATCCTATGCTGGTATCTCTTCGGTACATCGCACTATACAGCACACACAAGCGCCTTTACACACACCCACACACACTGCTGGCATCCACTCTCAGCTCGCATCGGTATGCATCAATTATGAATCTCTTTTCTCTCGTATCTTGTTCCACCTCGCCATCTGATGAGGAACATGCCGGGAAGGCAGACAAACCGACGACGACGCGGAGAAAAATGAGTCATCTTTTCAATCATGGAGAAAAAAAAGCTAATTTATGCATCTTGTCTCCAAGCTGGTGGCAACAGTGAATATGTAGGAAGCTGTGCACATATCTACACTGTATACGAGTAAAGCCTGCATGCCGATACGCTGTTGTAAAAATACTGTTATCTGACTTATTGTATCTTATGACAAACAGTTATGGAAGGGAGAATTTAAGTCTAACATCTACCATGCTTTATTTATTCTTGATTCTTAAATCTTGGCTTTCATTTAAATTATCATTTTGTTTCTTAATGCGGATTCATTATTATCCTAATATTTTATATTTCCTTTAAAATTCACCCATGTTTAATTCTAAATATGAGTTCCTGTAGCTATGTTTTTTTGTTTAATTCATGATCGTTTTTTTCTGTGTTAATATAAAATAGCGTTATGAAAAATATACACATTATTCGTTGAAAGTGGGTATGAACTAGGATAATTATTTCAGTACATGTCACAGAGAACATTTGAAATTTTAAAACCTGGTCTCTATCCTCCTTAGCAATTTTGACTTATTCTCTTATTCATATTCCAACACATATTCTAGATGACAGGGTAAATACATGCAAGTCAGGTAGAGAAAAATTAATCTGTCAAATGACTTCCAGATGTAGAATAAAACATCTAAAAACCCTGAAGCCATCCTTCAAAGTTATGAATATAATTGCATTAAAAATATTTGCACCAATACAACTGCATGATAGCTGTACTATTTTATTACGTGCTCTAGAATCCAATTACACATGTACACCTGTATTGTTCCGGGGGGGGGGGGGGGGGGTTGAAACCATCATAAGGACAACTTCTTGGACATCTCATCCATAGAATCATGCGTTATAGAATCTGTGTACGCATTTTTAAGGGATGTCCGCCAACTTTGACGCACATACTGTATGGCGGCTTAGAGAAACTGGCCCCCAGATATCTATCATTATATTATCTGGTGATTTAAATTGAGCATTCAAACTTTTAATTACAATCAATTAATATAAAAAACAATAAAGTTAAAAATACAGTTGTTTACTTTCAAGCTCTCAGAAGATAGTGGGAGGTTCATACTCACAGAAAACGGTATTGATTTACATCAGACAGCGAGAAACAAAAACGCTTAAACAAACAAACACACCTGACCAACCTACCTGGTGGAGGAGATAAGTAGGGAAGATGAAAAGCATTGAAGCATGTCAAAAACGGTGCATAGCTCATTGTTTCCATCTCGTCACTCAAGAAATATAATACAACTTGATGTGGGACCAGCAGTTCAGAGTCAAGGTCTTGCACAGAAGCTAGCTGTAATCAATTTCTCAAGGACTGGCAGACGACCAAACCAAGTGAACACAAGAATCTTGGTTTATACTAGTCTAAACTTATTGTTTTGACGATTGAAACCAAGAAGTGATGACACAATTAACAGGGATTGGAGCAATCACCAGATATTACTACAGGAAGAAGCCGCAGAGTACTCCCACTGAGAGGAAACAGGTCGCAGGAAGTGGATCCTCTGTGAAGTCTTCAATCAAACACACACAATCGTTCCATCACCATCTCCTAGACTAGCCCAGCCGTTCATTTGGTCTGTGTTTGGGTTCCCAGCCTCTGATCCAACCACCACCACCGCTACTACCACCTCTTCGGTCTAACAAACCACGGGACTAATCATCCAATCAGGAGCTAGCGTCTTCCGCTGGCATCTCGTTCAAGCGATGGAACAAAAAATTCTTATAGGCATCAACTTGTTTTGTTAGTCTTGGTTGTTCAAACCAGTCTTCTACAGCAAGGAATATGATGGTGGGGACTTGCAGAGATAAAAGTTACAGCAAGAGGATCACTGATGCTGACACTCAATTGTAAACATTGGCAGGAAATGCAGTTCAATATAGCACATCAAGTTGCAATTGTGGATTATAATTTTTTTAAGAAACTTTTTCCAGTTTAGTACTAATGAAGTTCTATAGCACCCCTAGATTTTGTTTAAACTTGGTTTAATTGACTGTGGTTGCTCACTGCACTGTCCCTTAACTTGGAATATGAAGAAAAGGCTAAAACATGCAATATGAATCCATAAGCGTTGCAATAATCAACGCCATACTGTAATCTTTTTTTGCATACTTCATTTACACAGCCTTCTTCTGCAGACTAGAGCAATGAAATAGCAAGCCTGGGAAGTGGAATCCACAGATGCCAGGGATTGTAACCAACCCCAAAATACCACTGCTTGCTTGCCTGGCCTGCTCCCACCCGGCCGGGCCCCCTGTGTAGTGACAACATTGAACCAGTTTTCACAAGACAAAAGAACTGCTAGGTGAACTAGCATCGGTACCTGGAACTGTTCTCCCTCTCTGGCATAAGGACTTCAAACTAGCTTTTGAAAAAATGAAATATTAGTTATTTATTTTGTGGAGAGAGAGAAAAATGTGCCTACTTTAAAAAAAAAAGTATTTTGCAGCCAATCCCACTAATAGATAGATGAATATTTCATGTTTCAGGGTGAATTTGAAGTCCATCTTGTTTTTTACAATCCTGTTAAGTCGGAATGTATATGTACACTGTAGTCGATTACGTCATCCGTGTGCGCTAAGGCAAACAGAACTGCAATCAATTTGGGTAAAATTGTTTGATGAAAAATGTGATAAAAGTGGTCACGCTTTTTGGAAAAGAACATTTTGCAAAGTTGGGGAGGAATCAACACCCAAAACAACCAAGAGATGGGAATTAGTTGCACACAAGCAGGTCTTATACATGTAGATCAATGTCTTGGTCTTGACCCATTTTCCACTAGACATAACCTAAATTGAAGTTGTCTCTAGGACTGTATTGAGTGAAACCAGGTCCAAACACCAGCTAGCTATGCAAATGACAATCTGAGCTATGCTAAGAATGCAGGGGTCATCCCAACATCCCTGGATACCAGATCTTAACAACAGCTTGAGGGCTGACGAGGTGGAAGTTGAAAGCGCACTTCCCGATAGGCAGGCAGGCAGGCAGGCAGGCGTGCTCAACGGGGGAAAAAAGCGTAAGCACACACTGGTCTCTGGGAGAAGACCAAACCCAAATGTCTTCAAGTCTTACGGAAAGTAGTCTACGGATCCTATGATCTTCATACTTCTCAAAACGCAGAAAATGTGAGACACTGCAAAATGTTTAAGATTCATTTTTCACACACAATGTAACATAATAACATCAACTATGTATTGATTTCACAATGGAACGCTTCATCATCCTTCATATTAAAGTATTAATTACACGAAGGAAACGTGTTAAATGTCATGCCGCTAGACTACAGGATGTAGATTTTGCAAAGCTCCCTTGGTTCACATGTCCAGGTTAACAGTGAAATATTTGGGGCCACATGGGCTCGGTTAGCTTTAAATTTGCCCATGTTTTTCAAATGAGGATATTGCTTTACATTCCAAGACCTCTCTCAGCGAGCCCCCTATTGTTTGGCCAAAGATTTCCATCAAATTCCCTCCAAATGGTTTTGATGCTGGAGGCAGCAGCTAGTCCAAGCTCAAATTTGTAGTTCAAGTCTAGAAGCTCCTGGGGGGCAAATATACAAAATTGTGTCAACTTTAGGAAATTTGCAAAGGCTTACAAATTAGTAACATAACAAGAAAACACATTTTCTGATTGGACACTCCTTTCTCGGAAAGAAAATTGAACCAGTCAGCTGTAAAAAATGAGGGACTTTCTATCCTACAGGCCTAGCTATAGGAGGAAGGCTTTGCCTGTAGCCCAAAGGATTTTGTGAATATAAGAATATAAGATATTGAAAAATATAGAGCTTTTAGAAGTACTGGTGTTAAGTAATTTTGGGTTCAAATTGACATGAATATAATCCCTTTTAATTCACAAGAAAATACATGAGACCAGATAGCAATTAGTTCTGGGAAAGTGTGAGGAACTACGGTAGTCTAAAAGACATTTCTAGAAAGAAAAACAAATCGTCCCTAAAGAAATGCCTTTGCTACAAGTTAAAAAAATATCACAACAAAATAAGGTGTCATCCTACACTTTATCTGTCTTCAAATATAATCTTATGCTAAGTGCATTTGGTGATAGGCTTCAAAACAAGTTTTTACTATAACACATTGTGAATGTAACAAAATTACAAGAGTAAAGCCGCAGTACATCTAAAAGATTCTTGATAATCCAAGACCTCAGATAATGAGGCAAGATGGATGCTCGTTAAAATTGCATATATATGTAGGCCTACAACACTTCAATTTTTAAAATCCAATTAATTTATGTGTAAAAAACTTACGTTGGTAAAGGTCACAATGTGAAACTCATTTTTATCATTATTACTGTCTAATCTTCCCCAGTCCGCATCCTGTTTGACTCTTTTCTTTGTTCTTATTCCGCTCTGATTATCTAATTTCTTTCCAATTCTCTGTCACAATATCAGTCCTCTGATCGCTTTTTAACTCGCTCTCCCATAACAAAACCCAGTACGTCGCATTTCCTCTTCTCCCAAGTCTCCGTTAATCATTTCTCCCTTTTCCTTTCTGACCCTCCCTTTCTTTTCCTTATCTAATTAGTACTAAAGCCTCCACCATCATCACCCTCTTATGTTCCTCTCCCTTCCTCTCATTTCCATTCGCTCTCTCAATGGATGCTCTCTCTCCCTCTATCTCCCTCTCTCTCTCTCCCTCTCTCTCCCCTCTCCCTCTATCTCCCTCTCTCTCTCTCTCTCCCTCTCTCCCTCTCCATCTCTCTCTCTCTCTCTTTCCTCTCTCTCCTCCAAAGTGGCCATTTCCTTCCTTTACTAATAATTTCCCTCAGCTTTTTTTCATGAACCCACTGTCAATGTCACTGGTTCGCATTAGGTTGGAAATCCCAGGCGAGTTGATGATAGATTAAACAGGATCTCCCCTGTACACACACACTATATGCAGTCCATTGCTAATTGAATAATTCGCAAGTGCAATTGAAGGGTTACTGGCCATGTGACCAATACACATGAGCAAAAAGTAATGTGTGGAAAACTAATGTGTTCCCCCGCAATACTCCTATCAATGTATATATCATAGCCTTTTTACGATGTATATTGTATAAAACCTTTGTCCCCTTTTTGTAAATTGAATAAAATGAGCTTGTACTAGCCTACAGAATGTATTGGATGCATGCCTGCTGGAGGATGTATCTGAAAAATAGATACCGGTAATATTGTCAAACTACACAGCTTTAACAAGAAAGATTCCCTGACTGGAAAGATTCTTAGAAAATCATTACAAAAATAGCTTTTCTGTGAAATCAATTCAAAACCAAACTGTTGTAAGAACATTAGCACTATCTTTTTCGAACAGCATCAAGCATATTCCATGTAATCCAAGATTATCCCCTAAGTCGAACACATTATACACTACAAACACAAATTCTAGCAATCTGAAAGTAAAATTACCAAGTACCGGTACAGTGTTTCTTGGAATGGAGATACACAGGCATGTATGCTCATTCTCACATCAAGTATAATGTAATTTGCAATTGTATCTAAAACTTCAAGGTGCAATGCAGGCAAATCTCATTCCACCAATCTCCTTTAAGTCTGCGGGAGCGAAAATTACAGCGGAAATGGTTAATGTTGGCGCAAACTTGGATGATTTTTCAATATGGCTGTGCTTGTGAGGGGAGTCTAAAAGGCATCAGCTCAAATTTGGATAGGAAAGGCAGACGAAACAGATTGTTTTTCCTCGTGTTCAAGTTCAGAGAAATGTGCTCAGTCTATCAGAAACAGGAAAGGGATAGTGTGAAGAAAATGTGAATTACTGAAGAAAAAAGCTGCAACTCTTTGCATTTTAGTCATGTGATCATCTTGAATTTCAATGATTGCTGACATCTTTCTTCTAGCTTGTTTTTGTTTTTTTCCCAATCAACGTGAACAATTGGTGTTATTTCTTATCACATTGCTCACAAGCTAACTCGTGGGAAAACCTGTTAGCAGCCAGCGAAGGGAGGGATGAAAAACTATTTGTTTAACCATCTTTATGAATTTACTAGACATTTTAGTTCTGAACTAATTTATAATTGAAATGAATCTTGGAATACAATTCTACAATAAGCTTTGCAGAATTTCAGCTACAAAGTGCATATATTGCAGAAATTGATAATATAATTTCATTTGTTTATTCAAATTCGTGGAGAGGAGAGTGTCTACTATCGTACATTTTTTAGAAATAATAATGTGCACTTTTATCACTCTATTCATAAATCACATCTCGTTCTCTAATTACACGTACCTTGATCAAAAGACAGCACTTCCCTTTCAACCGGTAGGAAAAAATTTGGAAGGATATCTTGTCATACAACCCCCCCCCCCCCCCCCCTCCCCCACTCAAAAACATGAATAGCATAGAAATCCATCACAGGGAAAACTCTTTAACGGTACGTTTAAGCTCAGCTTTTAGGCCATAATGAGGCATTTAGTTCAAAACACGGTTGCGTTTCTCATTTTCGTATAAACGCTGATCATAAACGGCGATCGTAAACTCACAAAAACATGCGTTTTGGATCGGCGTTTCTCCAAAAAGATGGTTTCTGGGAAGCATGCAGCCATGCACAATCTTTTGTAAACGCGTTTAAATGATGTCATAATAAACGTGTTTCCAGTTCATGTGAAAATCTGCACGCTGCTAATAGGGTGCACAATATTGTGCTTGTTTTTTCTCAAGGCATGCACATATATACAGGCTCGAGCAGAGTCATCCGAGCAAGATCATTTGTAACCTTAATACTAAGTACTTCTTCCATATCATTGAGTTGAAATGAGTGTCATGGGCTCAAACTACAGCGAAGAGGGCCCTTATCCTCGCTTGGTCCGAACCCGAAATGGAAGATGAATTGAATGAGTTTCAAAAAAGTGGCGCCCCAACTTGACCTGGCCTCCCGGGGTCAACGTAGCATGCGCAGTGCAGGTTTGCGAATCCAGATACAGAGCCTGAATTCGCCTGGAGAAGGGAAGCATAAACGTACCCCCGTGGAACTGCCTTTATGATGAGCGTTTCAAAATGCTCATGAATTCTACCTTCAAAAGTGAGCACAAACGCACCCTAAGACTAAGGCAAAGACACATCTGTATATATTGATCAAAGTCACATACGGTATGCATTTTGAATAAAAATACAAACATATCGGCCTATACAACATACTACATGTACCACTGAAAAGTAATACTTGTGCAAAAATTGCTGGGGTGTTTTAAAGCACATGACTCGGTATATCATGTGATAATGGATTTATAGCTACAATGATATCAAATGGGCCAATATACAATGTATATACAAATGGCTGATAGTGACATGATTGATATATTTTGTCAGGCATGTCATTGTTGATTTGGATTATAGTATTATTCTTCATTCAGTATTTCAGTTCAGGACAATCTTGCCAAAATTAATGATCCATGTATAATAATAGGTTAGAATCCATCAAATTTTGTTCCATACACAATGATCTTTTAAAATCCATATATTTTTGCCATTGTTCATAAAGTGTTGTCGACAACAAAGTCAGTAAAATGAGCTATTGTAAGGGACAATGGTTCAACAATGGTTCAATATTACCGCAGGTTGATCGCAAAAAGGTCTTGAGGTAACAGAGAAATAACAGCTACATTTGTATGGTGCTTATTACTATGTTTCTGATCACTTTACATTGTGATTATTATTACCCCGGTCATTGGATCCAATCGCTCATCAGCTCATGATAGTGCACACACTCTGCTCCCTAGGGAGTCATTTTAGTTTAAGCGCACACAGGCTGCCAATATAACCCAATTGTTAATGTATGTATTCTATCGGGCACCCATTTAACACCTCGGTGGAGAGTGGCAAATGTAGATTATTGTCTTGCCAAAGGACATTGGTGTTATCTGCCACAGGATTCAGAGCGCAAACAAATGTGATCCACAGTCCAGTGATGTATCCGCTAGACCAGGATACCTATACTTTCTTATTAGTATTATATCCTCATTATTTTATTATTAATATTATTATAATTTTCTATATAATCATTGTAGGGTTATTATTATCATCAATCATTTATTATTTCCTGTATATTGCATATTGGTAATAATCATTATTATTCTTTACTGAATATTATAATTAAGCGCTGCATATATGCATATTAAATATCTACTACCGGTACTTATTTTGTAACTAGTCCTGACTGAGAGGAGAAAGGGGCCTATAGTAATATTCAAATTAAAAATACTGCACTGTCTTGATGAATTATATAACATACCAAATGAAAGAAAAAAGTGAAAGGCGTAAGTATTCTCAAAAAGAATGAAACGCAGATAATAATTAATACCCCAAAAAACAAAACAAAAAACCTTTAATATTTTTATTGACAGAAAATATATTACAGTAAATTTGCACCTGCAGAATATTGTAAATTTCATGACAGATTAGGGCACACTTGTGATATTAACACAAAAATATTTGCATGCTCAGTGATGCAGCATCAAACTGAATGCAAGAATTGTGAAGATAATATTTGCACAAAAATCATGAAATGAGAAGCATTCACCAGCACCACACCGACACTCTCTGGCTATAATCAGTCATGTGTCATTCAAGTCCTAAAATAATAGCTAAGCAAGTAATCATGGCATATAAGGGTTGGTTGGTAATTCTTTATTTGAACGGTGATCTCAAGGTTCAATTATGTGAAAACATCAAACACAAAAGAAAGGTATGCAGTGTTGAAAATATGTGCATGCACCACTCTCTAACTAAGCTCTGCTGCTTGGCTACACGAGATAGAGCTATGCGGTAAGTACTGCGCGCGTCGCGGCCGCTAGGGCGAAACATGAGCGACTGGTGTGATTATGGTAGGCAATGCAAGTAACGTGCAAACAGGTTGCCACTGCGCTGTGATGATATCCGAAACCACCTCTCAAAACGATACGGGTCACACATCACTATTCCGTATTAATATTTCCGATCAGATTTTATAGTCTGACAAAATTTTGATCAATCTCACCTTCTTTTGGATCTGTTTCAACGAGTGTAGCCGCTCGAGAAAGCACATCGAGTGGTGTTTCCATCATGACAATTTTCTCTTGCACTCGATTCGCTCTTCAATTCCACACACGGACAGAAAACGTAGATTGCTGGTCTATGAGTATGATTGGTAAACAAAGGACAGAATATGTAGAACAACAGTAAAATGCTTCTACACCGGGAGAAAAATTTGAGGAAAAATCTGTGAGAAGTGTTTTCTTTTCGGAAAATTGGTTTCAGTGAATGGTCTTCCAAAACGCATGTCGATCACAATGGGCTTATAAATTTTGCAGCCACAAACAATCACCAGTTCGCAACGGGGATCAAACAAGTTGATAGAAAATATGCCAGGAATGAAGGAATGTGTATTGAGTAGGGCCATACCATTCACAAAGAGGGACAATGTATTTTGATAGCTCTGTTTGGTTGTGTATTTGAAGAGCTTCCCCTTGATAATTCTACCTGAAAATATATAAATATATCATTACAGTTATAATAACCTTATCATTACATATAAAATATGTCCATGAAATATCGTACAAACAAGATATTAATTTTTACACTCATTGGAATGAATTTACAAACCCTGTGAAAAGTGCATGTTTCGGAATTTCATGGGTATTGAACTACCTGAAAATAGAAAAAAGAGGGACGACCTCCAACCCTCGCCACCGAATCTACACAACCTGTTAAAAATCGATGGATCTCTTTTCACTCAGGAATTTACAAAAGGTGCAATTATTTAGACTGTGTGCATTTATGCATTTTTGTTTCGTCAATTCATATCGTCTTTGGAAATTCAACACGAATTCCATTGTGTTTTTGTTTTGTCATTGAAAATAAAGAGAGAGAGAGAGAAAGAGAGAGAGAGCGAAAGAGAGAGAGAGAGAGAGAGAGAGAGAGAGAGAGGGGGGGGGGGGGTGAGAGGGGGCCGCGGGAGGGGATCGAGGGGGAGGGGGCTGGAGGGAGGGGTGGAACAGAAGGAGTGAGAGGTTGAAAAGGAGAGTGAGAGAGACTGTAACAGGGGCTAGATTATTTCATTTCAGTGATGATACGACCAATGTTCTGGGAAAGAGACCAATAAGAGAGGTTCAAGACCCTCCCTATCAAATCTCAATACAAAAGCTTCATATTTTTCAGAAATATTATGTGACAATATACAAGTAATTTTTAGGGCTAGCATACTTGTAATATTCCCCATGAGATGATTCTTCGTCGCTGTTTTCATCATATTATTATTTTTAACATGAAAGAGGAAAGATGGAATCATACTTCTTTTTTTTCTCGTTTTTTTCCTTTTCTTGTTCTTTCTTAATAGTGTAAATAAATAGTTCACAACCCTTTAGGAATTTTATTTGTCATATATTATTATATTTGAAAGGTGCTGTACCGATTCAAGCTCTTTATGTTTCAATGACCTTTGTGTGTTCATACTTTAAACTGTATAATAGTTGCAACTTGTCCTTGATAAAAAATTGTTATATTCTTTTTCAAGTGAAGTCCATTCAAATGAATTGTAAAATTGAAATTGATTTGTTGAATAATATTCTTTTTCATGTGATGTTAACTCAAATGAATTGTTAAATTGTGAACATGGATGCGTAAATAAATAAATGAATAATGTGGAGTAGAGTTCCCCCCCCCCCACCTCCTCCTCCAAGTTGACCAAATAGAAAGAAAAAGAGAAAAGGAAAGGTATATCATGAAGAGAGGCGGAAAATGGTGAAAACCTGAATCAAGGCAAAATACAAAAAAGGCAGCCGAGTGCACCATTGGCCTAGGCTCCCCCCCCCAAAAAAAAAAAAAAAAAAAAAAATCCGGGATTACCACAACTAGACAGCATATTCTGTAGAGGATTGAAGATGTTTTGTTTTTTTTAATTCAAGGCCTACATTAATAAAAATCATAATTTCCCTCTACCTAACAAGATTTCGTACGCCTATTTCATTAAAAACCGAGGAAGAAAAATGTTTCCATCACAGGTTTTACATGTTTCTAATCTAAGATCTAGAAATTGGTGTTGCATCAGGCGCGTACGCAGCGGGGGTTTCGGGGGTTGAACCCCCCCCCCCTCATTCTTGTTATGTGTGTGATTTTTTTATGGAACCCCCCCCCCTCACCCTCAATACCTTTTTTTTTTAAGTGTGCAAAAGGGTGACCTCAAAAATGACCTTACCTCCCCGAGTCGTTGCGAAATTTTTGGGACCAAAAAAAAAACGGCTGGTGAGGCGTTGCGAATTTTTCGGCCCGATTTAAAAATGTTAAAACTCCCCCCCCCCCCCCGAAAAAATCCTGCGTACGCCACTGTGTTGCATGATGTCCATTTTAGTTGTTGTAGGCGTAGTGGGTCATTTGGAGTTCTTAATTGTTGTTATATAGGAATGTTGACTTTGTTGTTGTCATCTGTGTTGTTGTTTTGGAGAGAATTTCCTCAAGGACTCAACTACGGTTGGCCAACTGCGATACGACTATTCCCAACAATCGCCTACCTGCTACATTTGAAATAAAATACACGAGATCTGAAGATATTGTCTTTTTGTCAGGTGAAGTTGTTCTTCAAATTCTGATGTTTCCAAAATCAGCTATAGCACGGGCAAATCCAGTTAAGCCGAAGTGGCTGCCCATTTCCTCACATGAAAATCAAAGAAAAAAAAAAACGCCCGACCCACCTCCTGTCGGAATCTTAAAGAGAATAACGGAATTCTTGCGGATATCATTTCTTTCAGGAAAAAAATCGTATTGATGTATTTGTATCATAAATAAAGGATTGCGCAGAACTGGTGCCCCCGGCCCCCACCCCCCTTTGAAACCCGATCGGCAATAAATTATATACACATGCATTCAGGGGCGGCGATCCCAGGGGGACACGTCCCCCCCCCCCCCCCCCCCCCCACCCGGGAATTTTGAAAAAGTGCACATAAAAAGTGTATAGCAAATAATGACTAAAGACTGCTCTGGAGGGCCCAAAAGTGCAGCGTTTAGACTAATAAAAATGCAAAAATCAAGCTCGGTCGCTATACGCTCCCTCGCATAATAACCCGGTAAGAGGGTGGGGGGGGGGGGGATTTGGTTTGGACGGGAGTTGGCCGCTCAAGCCTCGAAACCCCTACCCATTTTTCTCGAAATAAGGCCCATCTTTCACAATTTTAGGGTGTTTTTCGGGTATTTACCATACAAACACCCGAAATTTTGAATAACTTGAACAGACCCATTTTTAATGGTATTTTTGTTAAAAATGAGACCGATGTTTAGGGACCCAATAGAGCGACACACCCCCGTCTGTCTTAATATGTGAGTAGCCTTCCCCCCGAATAATATCCTTCAAAATGTGCAACTCCGTTGGCATCACCGTGATACCAGCGGAATACAGATTTCCCCTCGCATTTCGTCCCCCCTCCCCCCCCCCCCCCCCCCCCCCCCCCGCATGTCATGAAGAGAAATCGCCGCCATGCATGCATTTCTTCAGGTCCAGGACAGGTGAAGCCCCCCCCCCCCCCTCAAGATATTAAATTGTTTTTTTATCATAGCTTTTATCAATGCCAACTACATGTAATCATCAAGGTGATAATTATTTCAATTACCTTTTCTCTCTCTCTCTCTCTCTCTCATTTCTTTCCCTCCTCTTTATTATGCGCAAATGCCTTTGTATCAATTTTTCCCAGTCGTTAAAAAACGTTAGATAAATAAAACAATGAGTTTGCGTTACACACAGGTTGATTTGTGCACTGAATATCTTGAACGATGTTAACTTTACAATTTTATTATGTTTTCATTCTATAGAATTTAGCATGAGATTCCAGTTTTCACACTTGAATATTCAAAATACCCTATAATTTACCACTTCTTTATGATTCAAAATTGCACAAAAATAAGCTCTTGAAGATTCCTTTCTTTACATCAGTGGAAACCATGAAATAAGATTACGTATATTTCATAAATAAGAAATATGCAGCAGACATTAACCTTTAATTCATATAAAAAAATAAAAAAATAAAAGAGCCAAGACTTGCGAAAGAACCGTTCAACGGTTTAATGTCAATAACAAATTACCTTTTTCGCACTGACGGAGACATAACAAAGCTGCAGGAACAGACATCTTTAGACCCAATAGTCAGTAATACATATAATAACAGTCATGAACGGGGAATACCTTAAATCAAGAGCTACATTTATCAATGTACAATTAATGTTCCAGAAACCATGCTTGGATATAAAAAAAAAACTTCTGCAAATTATCATTCAATACATCAAGCAAATTAAACGAGGTTATTATTCTAAACTACCGGTAGCATGCTATATATTTAAAGGTTATGAATTTTTATTTGATAAAACAATTGCTCTGTATCTTACCTACGATAATTCGAAATGTATTAGATAACACACTGCAATATTAAATTACTTCATATTCCCACGTTATAGCGATGTATATCCATGTAACATGGTATTAGACAGTTTTCTGGATGAATTACATAATCATCATCCATAAAACTATCTTTCTTGACAAAAAATAAATCAGGTTCAACTAAGGCCTCTAGTAAAAGTTTGGGAAACGTCATACTCATATTCATGTTACTCTCTCTGTATATATATATATTCATAATTTACACATCGTTAATATTACACAAGACAATATGCAGTATAAATAATTCAACCTGTAGTCCGACATTTTATAGAATGTACATATTATGTTCAGTTGCGAGAAAGGTACTATCATTTCATCTGTTTGGAACCAAAAGGGCATTAACTCATGTAGTTTTAACAGACTTGATGCCCTTTTGGATCTGAAAAAATGATATTAACAATGAATATACAGTCTTGTTTTGTTGTCAACTTCAGCAGCATTAGAAAGTTAAAGCTCTCTTAAAAATTCCCAGAATGCAACAGGGAATACAGATTAATTACAATATCTCCTCTCAAAGTTTTCTCATTTTTGAATAACCACCAAAATGGTAGGGCCAGTTAAATACTCTTTTTTTAAGCTCTCATTTTTCAATTAAAGTAGGGCTCACCATTTACAGGTTATAATACAAGGAATACAGGATACAGGAGAATCTAAAATGAAAGAGTACAAACAAATAGAGACAGATATTGGAATTGTTTACATGACATTATTTTTAACCTGTATCAAGGGCTGTATCCCATTATCCATATACCCGGACAACTGCTCTCTCAGACAACCACACAAAGTACTTTTTGGAATTATCACCTCGTCTGGAAGAGTCGTCCTGGGGAGTAATAATAATTGTCTTATAATATTGTAGTCTATAAGGTTTTTTCAGATGTTTACCACACAATATATTAGTTGAGAATATAATTCTGTTAAGTTATCTATTTGTAGTAGTGTTACAAGTTACAACACAAACTCTTGGTCATAAAAATTTGAACTTTGAAGTACTAGTGCAACAATAAGAGTTTAAGATTGCATGCTAAATTTTAAATAGTTTCTGCCCATGTACAAATAGAGAGAGAAGACTTGATGCTCAATAAAAAATATATGTCTTGTCGACGGAAGCCATTTTTTAAGCACTTGGAATGGAGCACAATGCAGTTTTTTAGTCAGTTAATTACAAGATACAAAGAACATTTTACTATCATGAACTTCATGGTGCAAATTTATTACAAAATTGTGAAGGATAATAAATACAGTTATGGAGTACGAATATTTCATTCCTCCGAAATGGCACAAACAGTTCAATAGTTTCTGTAGTTTTTGAGCAATGAAATATATTTATTACAGCTGCTGATAAGTAACGCCCAACTCACTATCGTCTGTTATCTATCTTCAGCAATCGCTTCGTCATAAGTTGGCAGTTCTACGACTATAGCTGGCGCTAGTAACAATTGTTCTTCAGGCGGGGGAGCATGGCCTTGCACGCCGCCGCCCCCGCCGTCGTCTAGATGACGTTGGACGCATTCTTCGCACATGTGGCTTGTGACTGCAGGGGCGGTCGATGACGAGGCGAGGTTGGTCGATGAGGAGGACGCTAATGGGTTATGATGGATGTCCGTCTGACTGACTTTGTAGTACCTGCAGTAACAAGATGGGAGAAATTGTAGAAGGAAATTATCTTGTGAACTTAGTCATGGATTGCAACAAGAGAGGATAATTACTAGTGGTCAGAAGGCTGACATTTTCATGTTTTTGCATTTCTGTTTGGAACTGCATTAACTTAGTTAGAGGCATTGTGAGGAGTCGTAAGAAAGGTAGGGTTGGGGGTTCGAAACCCATTGTCCCTATTCAAACACTTTCATTCAGGAAACATCAAATATTAGAGATGTCGCGTTGTCGGCAAATTTTAGAATTTGATTACTAATTTGTTTTCCTTGTTAGAAAAAAAATTGAACATCTGTCGGCAAATTGAAAGTAAAAAAAAAAAAAATTGGTTTCTGTGAGTGTATTGTCTATTTTTTCCGCTGCTGTTGAGCGTTGTTGGAAATTGTTGGAAATTGTGTGGAGGAAATATGATTAACAACCTCATTCAGTATTCTATAGAAGATCCTGTCCGTGTTCTAAAAATCTCTCTCGTCATGTTTGTATCAGTGGTCAATCAAGTTTCATTTTCATTTCATTTTCATTTCTATATTTTCCTTTCCTACAAACTACAATACATAATAACGAATAATAATAACGAAAGTTACAATCCACCTCCTAAAATAACGAATAAGTAGAAAATTATCATTCCTATTTCCTAATGTAAATTTCTATGATAATAAATGTAGGTCGGTGAACATACTGATAATCAGCAGAGCCACCAATAGCGCCAGGTACATCTCCGACCATAAGTTCAACACCAATGTCCTCACGTCGTAGAATCTCAGCAGTCTCATACAATGGTGGTGGGAGGTGGTCTAAAAAGTCGCCTGACATGTTACCAGTAGGCGGAAGCGGATGTAACACTAATGTTTCATGTATATTGAGGGAAGAGTTTGTGACAGACGCTGTCGCACCGTCCCCGTGACGCGGCGGCGACCGCTGAACGTCGGCGCGGTCGTTGGCGGCACTATGACGTCGATTCGATCGTGAGAAACTTGAAACTCGCTCTCGAATCCCATGAAGGGTTCCTACTCTCCCGCAGGAGTCCGTGGTTAAAAGACAAAGTACCATGGACGAACTGCCCAGAATAACCCCAATGACGCTGATGATTGCTCCGGCGACGTACTCTTTCGTGTTCACACAAATGACAAGTCCAGCAAAGAGAAGTAACGTGGCAAAGATAAGTAGAAGGCCGATGCGGTTACGTTTCTTCCGATATCGACTCCTGCGTCGACGTTCCTCGGCGGACAGCTGAGGATTTCGTTGGACAGTACTGCCAGCACCAACGTTGCTGACACCACTAAGACCTCCTATACTACCCGCAGTCAATGATGATACATTGAGCTGGTTTGTGGAATGAACGATGGCGCGCTCTCTTTCAGGATCTTGGAGATCGATTTGATGCATTGTATGGTTTTAAGTTGGTCGTATCCAGGTTCATCGACCTCGATTACGATAATTGTCCAATGACGCTTGATGGGAAAGGCACATTTCGTATTTTTTCTTCATTTCTGGTGAATATTTCACGCTTGGGAATCACGGCATTTTGTGAAGTCTTTGATCCTACATTACTTCAAAGTGATGGCCAAGATAAATTCTGAAATAAAAAGAAAGGAGAAATCATTATGACGAACCAAAGAAACATTCGTTTACTAGTGTAAAAGTACGATGTTTTCAATAATAGCAGACAGAGGAACAAAGTTTGATGAAAATCGGTTAACAAATAAAAATAAAAAAAGTTATCAGTAATTCAGAATCATTGCGATCACTATCTAACTCAGGTGAATTAGCAAATTGGTCATGAGTTTCTAATGTTCTTTCCTCGCTATTCAATAGTCATCAATGTTTTCATTTTTTTCAAAGTTGTTGTAAATAATAAATATACATTTTTGTGGATAATATGAAAAAGCCAAATTTATTAATGTTTCTGAAAGAAAGGAACGTTTTAGTACTTTATGATATTGCACATAATAATATGTAGAAAGTAGAAACATGTTATCATCAATACAACGTTGTTTAAGGTAAGGGAAATTCTTTTTCTTCTGGTTTAAATTGATTACATTAAATTGTATTTATTTAATCACGGTAAAACTCACAACGGCCTGAAAAGACTGCTTTTCAGCTAGTCCGTGTTAAAAACATAAAGCAGATCATATCGACAAAAAAAACCCATTATAAATACTAGGAAAAACAGATGATATATAAAACAAAGTGAATAGATAAAGCTATATAAATACACACACAAAAAAATTACAAACACTAAATATTACATGTGTTATACCAAAATTATATAAACAGTTGATGAGTATAATCAGCAAATGACATAACGAACTAGTGACCGAGTCGTGCATTTGTATCTAAACTAGGGATTTTCATGATTGTTTATAAAATAATCGTCCGACTTTCCTTCTTTTTTCATTTTCAGTTTGTCAAGTTATTGAAATCAACTTATTTTTGGACAGGGGTTTTGGCCCTCAATTAGAGCCCCAAGGTATCGTCACTATCGTGGGAATTAAAATTCCATTCAGGAGATTGCCAACACAACAAAATGCCCTTCAATGTGAGTTTCATAGTTCAACTCATTTCGCAGATACTGACGTACTTAAATGTTCTGGTATTGGGTTGACCAGATTACCAGACATCAGGGGCGGCGCCTGAGTATTTTTCTACCAGTACTCCCCATTGGAAGTGGAAAGTAGGGGCCACAATGTGAGTGGCTAATTGTACACAGATATAAAGTAGAGTACTGGTCATGAAATATCACTGAAGAAGAGACTGGAATTCATTGAAAGGTGTGACATATTAAAGTGACTCAGTAACAATAACATTGTTGAAATGTCAATTTTGTGTAATCTTTGTTTTAAACGTTTATTATTATATTCCTTCTATTGTAATAACCCTCTAAACGGCAAAAGAATCCAGAGAAAATTCTCACACAACAAAGATATTTATACATGTAGTTTTCTCTGAAGGCGTCACTGTGCAACACCCTCTATTAATGATCAACAGTAAATTCTCCCAACTATTTTTGAACTTTCTCAACCGTTTTCCTTGGAAATAAAGACATAAGACAGGCTTTTAAAAATGTTTCAACACTTTAATGTCTGGAATAGTAGAGCCAATTCATTGCTATATGATGATTTACATTCACCTAAAATGTAATTAAACTGTAATAATATAGTTGGGAGAATTAAGGAATCGATCAGATCAGTTTTTCCCCAATTTTTGTCATTAATAATGCTCCGTTTTTACTCAAACTTACAGATTATCTGTAATTGTACATCTAGCATTGAAGTCACTACCTTAGCACCATTTTATCTCATCTGAACAATGTTACCAAGTCCCTTTAAAGGTTTAATGTGTATTGAGAGGTTTTGGAATCATTATCATTTCACAACAAATTGGCACACTCTTGCTGATCACATACAGTAAAAAAATAAAAATTAAAAAAAACACTGCAAAATAATTGAGTATAAGGGACTTCACACATATATAGAAGTGGCATAAATTTGGTTTAAATTACTTTTGGGATATACATGTATATCCTAGTGACAGGGTGTACAAGGTATTTCCACAAGTCCATGGACAGGACTAGAAAACTCAATGTCATGTGTTTTTGTGATTGCGGCCCCAGCAATCAAGTACGACTATACTCTACAAAGAGGACTGTACTCAATGAAAGAAGAAGAACTGAAGATGAAAAAAAACTGAAAATGAAAAAAAGCTGAAATATTACTTAACCTGTACCAGTGTAACTCATTAACATACTTTTTAAGTTCAGACACCCACTGTTAAAGTTTAGTATTTGTTATTTGTCTACCAAATCATGGAGGGGCACAAAAGGTTCCTGACTCCTATCCTTCTGTAACATTGCCCATACACATTATTAATGCAGATTTATAAATCAGGTGGAGTCGTATCTGGATGAATCCTTACAAACAAATCTCAAGTTCTGGACTAATTATTAGCAATGAAGAAACAATTTAGACTGAAAATCACTGAATCATGATTAGTCTATATGCAATTTCTATTTTCTAGAAAACTACAATTATATTATCATGTGTAGGCCTACATGTATATTTAATAATCTACATTTAAAACATTTTTTCAAGATATCGCTACTGATATATCAAAGGAGGAATAAGAAGCATGTCTTTGTCTCTCATACTATCAGTACTATAAAGGAAGTGCATATTTTTACTTGCACCGACACACTCATTTTTATTGTATAGTCCAGTCTATGTGAGAGCATGGTGTAAGTAACTCCATGGTGAGAGTGAGCTGAGACAACACAAACTTTGCACCTGCACCTTGGTTCATATCATTGGCATATATATATAGTCTATGACACTATTGATAATCCCGGTATGGTATACCGAATTACCGATAGCTTCTAAGGAGCTGCTGTTTGGGATTCATAATTACTGCATCAAGTTAATGTAGATTTTTTTCTCCAAGCTTTTAACACTAACTACAGATCTAGGCCTAGACCTACTGGTCTTGACTCTGACTACTTTTTAAATTCTTCACATTTAGGGGTACTTTAGTTCAGAAGTTCATGAGAATCAACATCATCATCAAACAGTAGATCTATGTTTTTATCATGAAGGAAATTGGGTGAAAGAGGAATAATCAATAAGGAAAGGGAGCTTTCTGATAGCACATATTTCCACCGTCTAGCCTAGGCCAGGCTTGGCCTAGATCACGATGATTTAATCCTAAATCCTCAAATTATGCACTTGATCTAGAGTAGAGTCGAGACTAGAGTAGAGTCTAGATCCTCTTCAAGTAGTTCAATCTTCATCATGTGCTGGATCTTCTAATTAATGCAGATGATCTAATTCTAAATCCTCTAATTATGCAGATGATCTACATCTACTTATCTAGACCCTCTAATTACGCAGATGACCGTTAGATCATCAGCTCTAATTATACAACACGTAACAAATAAAACGTTGGCAAATGTTAAATGTATGCTAACACAACGAATGCCTATTGCCTTGGAATGCACGCCACACCACACACCACGCCATGAATTATTTATCACTTTCTAGATTCTAGCTTCTCATCATAACTCCAAGGATAAAAAGACGATTCGTCTACTCACTCTGTTCTTTCTTCTCGAGACTAGGATTCCCAATGATATCAAAGAAAGCCATCAACAAACAAGCATCTTTCAAAAATCTTTAGGCCTATTCCGCTATCTTTTCTTGCATCAACATATCCACGATGTTATGTTTATGTTTTGTCTGAACTTTGCAATGGATTATATAGGTACGATGCGTTGTGTGCTAATACCGTACCATAGTACAGTGCGCTACGGTACCATTCATAGATAGCTGAATGAGCTTGAATACACACTACGTGATAAATTACAACACAGCTCGATCGTCTGGAATGTCAATTTACTACACGCTCATAATCCAATACTTCCGACCACATGGCTGTATGAAAATAGTTCTCCTTCAACACATCATGAACAGTGGACATTTCTTCTGGTCAGACATGCTTTCTACTCCCTTATAGATTGGTATGTGATCTGTGTATTTATACCGGTGAATTCATCGTAGACTAAAAATAGAGAGGTTGTAAAAAAGAGAGAGAGAGTAGTATTTACGCCGCCACGGCCATATCGTGCACGCGTGCCACATTGCGTACGTACGTACGTTCGTCCGTTTCCATTCATAATAATACGACATCGACAAGACGTCAACATCGCTAGCGGTCATCACACTTTTGGGATGGCTCAAAGGCGGCCCTCAGGGGGAGGGGGGGGGGGGGGGGCACAATGCCCCCACTTTTTCTAGTATCACCAAATTGCCGCTTTTTACATAGGAAAAGTGCCCCTTTAACTTTGTAAGAAGTGCCCCTTCTACTTTGACAAGAGCCCCTATTAATTTGTAAAAGTGTCTCTTCCCCTTTTCACCTCTGAAAAGTGCCCCTTTTCTTTCGAAAAGCTCCCATTTTACTTAACAATGAGTGTCGATGTCCATTGTTATAAGTGCCTTTTTTAATCTCTAGTAAGTGCCCTCTTTTCAGGTACGAAAAATGCCCCTTTTTCACTTTTGATAAGTTCCTCCTTCAACTGGCCCTTTTCAAATCTGTGTTGTGCCCCTTTTACCTCGACCAATGGTCCTTTTTCCTTTGTAAGAAGTGCCCCTTCTCCTATACCCCTGTTTTTACTCGGATAAGCGCACCTTATATTTCACATTATGTCCTTTTTCCTTTCTAATAAGTGCCCCTTTTCATGATGATAACTGCCCCCATTTTAAAAAAGAGCCCCTTTCCCTTTCATCAAACCCCTTTTTGATCTATTTAAGGTTTGAGAAGTTACTTTAACTTCAGATAAGTGCCCCCTCCACCTCCGATAATTGCCTCATATTCAAATCTGAGAGTTACTGATGAGTTTCCCTTTTCACCTCTATTAACTGTCCCTTTTATTTTTACACGTGCCCCTTTACCTTTCTAATAAATTAATGTTCTTTTTCATACTTATAAGTGTTCTTTCCCCTTCTCGTAATTACCCCCGACCCATTCATCTCTGATAAGTGCACCGTTTATTTTAGCATGTGCCTCTTTTTCTTTATATTAAGAGCGGCTCGTCCCCCTTCTCATAAAATCCCCCTTTCAACTCCAATAAATGCCCCCATTAAAATCTGATCGGTGCTCATTTTATTTTAACTATTTCTCATTTTCCTTTACTATAAGTGCCCCTTTTTTATTTTCATAAGTGCCCCTTTCCATATCTGGTCAGTGCTCCTTTTTACCTCTGAAAATTTCCCTTTTATCAATGATACGTGTCCCTTTTCCTTTCTAATAAGGGACCTAAGTATCACCTTTTCATAAATGCCCGTTTCACCTCTTATAAATGCCCCTATCAAAATCTGATGGGTACCCCTTTTCCGTCGACAAATCCTTTCCCATTCCCATTCTCATTCTCATAAGTGCCCTTTTTCATCCCTGGTGAGTGCCTCTTTTTGTAGGTGTAAGAAGTGCTCCATTTTCACCTCTGATAATTACACTTTGTACTCGTGCTCATGTTCCTTTTCTTTTTTAATAAGTGTACTATCCTTTTTTTCCTCTCATCGTTAAGCGTGCCCCTAATTTCAAGCGACTAAGAGCTATTTCCCCTAAAAAAAACAGATGATAAAAGTCATTTCAGTCTTCCGTTATGAGAATGTGCTTATCAGGATTGGGTTTTTTCCTCTTTATAAGATGTAATTTTTCGCAATGCGATCTCACAATTTGTTTTCCACGCTCTCAAATGAATTTTCAAACCATCACACCGAATAGACCAGTTCACGGTTAGCACATATTATACTGCAATGACCCCCGAATATCCACAGATCTTAAAAACATGAAGAGGTCCCACTTTTTACATTTCGAAATACTCACTCCTACAGCGATGGAGGTGCTATATAAATAGCCTTTGTTTCCCCTTTTCAAAGAATACTATCACCTGTGTATCATGGATGGCACTGAATGTGCATGAATAAATAATGTTACATAGCTTTCATGAGCACGTATTCAGTATTTCGTCTCCGTGTATTTCAAAATTTGTTCTGCAATGACCTTTATCTGCTCATGCTCAGACTGCAACCGTGAACTGGCTTATTGCAAAGTATAATGCTTAAGCAATTTATTGTATGGCGTATAAAGAAAAACAAATATTGAAATCCTCCCCGATAATGTTATCACTATGTAGGGGTATATACTAATGTCTATTGTCTAAACAATTATTTTCGCTTTAAGATTTCCCATTGTAGGGGCTTTTTTTTCTAAAGTGTCCTTTTTTGTTGATGCCCCCTTTCCCCTCTTTGTAAGTCGCTCCGCCGCCGCTCTTATTTTTGCATTCCCGATCTCTCTCCAATCAATCGCATCAATAAAATAAAATAATAAAAACGGTTCTTATAAAGCGCTTATACCACCGAACTCTCTAAGCTAAGCGCATCTTATTTTGATAAAGTCCACTTTAAAAGGTATAATACAAAGTTTTGGTATGGGGTCATGAATTTGGTTCAATTGAACATAATTATTGGAAGCATATGCGATTTAAAAATATTAAATGATCGTTGTCGCGGTTGAAATCGAGTCTAAAGTGATGAAATTGTGAATAATATACTCTTTATGTTGCATAGATCCCTCTCAAGACTGATATCATATTTTAGCTTTAAAACAACGGTTCTTGACTATATTCCCGTTTGGAAATTATATATCAGAACTACTTATTCTGAGATTTTAATGGTCGCAGCTAACATGGAATGGCCTTAGGCGCTGTTTGAAATATTTGAAATTTACCGGGAGCACCGGTAAATTTTGATTATTCAATTTCTCCAAAGCGGAAGTGTTTTAGGATCTATATTTTTTAGTGCTTATAATACATCCACAGGGGCATCCAAATATATTAACATTTTAAAGAATTACTAATACTATTCATTCAATTTTCAAAATTTACCAAGCGGACCTCCACTAATGCTCCCCCCCCCCCCAATCCATGCGTCCGTGCTCCCGGGGGTCCAAATCGTAATAAAAACAAAGAAACCAGTAATCCAAAATAACGGAGCAAAATATTTGATAAAGTAAACAGGTGAAAAGAAAACCGATGAAAACATATAATTAGACAGAAATTATGATTCAAACATTATGTACGTTGAATATAAATTGACAGATTACAACAACAACACAACTAAGAGATGGTATGGTGGTAAATTTACAGGGATAATTTTATGTATACCGTTGCTTTGTTCCAGTTGGCCACTTGCGTGTGAATGCAATCTGCACAATAGGTGTGTTGTTTAATTTTAGAGCAAACGCGTTCCTGTTACCGAATTATTTGTTATAAAAATGAATATATAATATATTTAATTCATGTTTACTTTATGGGCAAGTACTGATGTGAGATTGCGATGTAACACACCACATTATTTTTCTTCTTGTTAACAGGCTTATTACTAAGTCATGTATAATTTTTGTATACCTGTCGAGCATGGTGCAGTTAAAACTATTAGTTTGTTATGTAATGGTGGAGGTTTTGGTTACTAAAATTCAGTTTGACCAAAACTATACTTTCTATACCAAAACTCGACTATCCCTTTAAGCCGTGAACTTCTATCGTTAATAATTCAAACCTATATACAATGAAACATAACGCTAATGCTAACTCTTACCCTAAACACCTCAATTATTATCCTTTAAACATAATCCTAACCTAACCCCAACCCTAATTCTAAACCACCATTTGTAATAGTATAAAGATATGTTACGAATCAACATTTACAATTTCACTATAAATTATATTCCCACATTTGCTCTCACTTTATAATATCAATATCTTATTAGCATGTATTTTGTTGTACTCCTCTTCTCCTCCTCCTGAATGGTGATTGTTTGAGCATTTCGTATATAGGCATGTTAGAAATTCTCTGACTTTATGCAATACACTCTTATTTCCACGGAGTCAAATTTCACTCTGAATGGCGTCAGCTGGGAGTCAACTCTATTCCTAGTTAAAGTGACACGGAAAAGGAGTCATAATGACTCTGAATTGAGTCAATTCTCAGCTGATGCCACACAATCCGAGTCAAATTGATTCGGAATCCGTGTCACTTTAACTAGGAATAGAGTTGACTCCCAGCTGACGCCATTTAGAGTGAAATTTGACTCCGTCGAAATAAGAGTGTATAATGGAATAAGGATAGTAAGACGATCAACCAATTTGACTACTAAAATAATTATAAACAATCTCGTTTTGAAAAATTCTTATACTTATCATAACAATGTTGATGCAATGTTTTTTCGTTCTTTCTCTATTTTATTTATCTTCCCTTTTTGTTCTGTAATCTTGGTTTTATGTAAATTATATACCAGTTATTGTTATTTTGTATATTTTGTGAGGGTCATGTTTAACGAGCAATTTATGTGCTTTTCATGATCTTCCCTCTTCATATATCTTAATTTTGAAGATTGTATCATTTTGTTTTTATCTTGTTAAAATGGGTACCCGGTAGGATGCGAAAGTTAATGTGATTGGATTAGCAAGTAGCGCTTGTAAAATGGCGACTAGCTGGAATGCTCCCCAGGGAGTGGAAAATGTGCACACATTGTGTTGCGGGTAAGCCTGAATCCGATGACCGGGGTAATGTTCCGCGCCTAGAAACAAAGTATTGGCGCATTATAAATGTGAGCTATT